CTAACAATGCCACACCTCCCCCTCTTTTACCACCTTCCCTGATCTTAATGAAACATCTAAACCCCGGAACCTGCAACAACCATTCCTGTCCCTGCTCTATCCATGTCTCCGAAACGGCCACAACATCGAAGTCCCAGGTACCAACCCATGCTGCAAGTTCACCCACCTTATTCCGGATGCTCCTGGCATTGAAGTAGACACTTCGAACCACCTTCCTGCCTGCCGGTACACTCCTGCGACCTTGAAACCTTATTTATGACCTCACTACTCTCAACCTCCTGTACCCTGGAGCTACAATTCAGGTTCCCATCCCCCTGCTGAATTAGTTTAAACCCTCCCGAAGAGCATTAGCAAATTTGCCCCCCAGAATGTGCCCCAATTATCCAGGTATCTGAATCCCATTAATTCCTACTCTTTGTTTCCTCTCTGCCAACCAGTTTTCTATCCATCTCAATACACTTGCCCCAATCCCATGTGCTTTAATCTTGCACAATAATCTCTTATGCGGGATTTTGTCAAACACTTTCTGAAAGCCCAAATTGACCACATCGACTAGCTTTCCCTTGTCAACTCTACTGGTTACATCTTCATAGAATTCCAACAGATTAGTCCAGCATCATTTCCCCTTCAAAAAGCCACGCTGACTCAGTCTGATCCTGCCACTGCTTTCTAATTGCTCTGGTATAAAGTCCTTAAGTACTCTGGGATATAGAGTATCAGGCCCTAGGGATTTATTCGCCTTCAATCCCATCAATTTTCCCAGCACGATTTCTTTACTAAATTGATCTCCTTCAATTCTTCCCTCTCACTCAATCTTGCATTCTCCAACATTGCTAACATCTGATTTGTGTCCTCTTATGTAAAGACAGAACCAAAGTGTGTATTCAGTTTGCTCAGTCATTTCTTTGTCCCCTATTATTCATTACCTCACTTCTGTCTGTAGGGAACGTACATTTGTCTTCACCAATCTCTTTCTGTTCATGTACCTATAGAAACTCTTAAGTGTCAGTCTTTATGTTCTATGCAAACTTACTTTCGTGGAGTATTTTTCCCTTCTTAATCAATCCCTTGGTCCTCCTTTGCTGAATTCTAAACTGCTCCCAAACCTCTGGCGTATCATTTTACTTGGCCAACCTGTATGCTTCTTCCTTGGATTGGATACAATCTCTAATTTTCTTTGGGTAAGAGGGCCAATCCATGGCCCTTACATTCTACTTTTGTGCCAGACAGAAATAAATAGTTGTTGCAGTTTCCCCATGCATTCCTTGAATATTTGCCGATGCCTATCCACTGTCACCCCTTTTAAGTAATTATACCCAATCTATCAAGGCCAATTCACACCTCATATCTTCATAGTTTCCTTTATTAAGATTCAGCATCCTAGTCCCCGAATCAACTACTTCACTCTCCATCTTGATTTTAAAAAAAAATTCTATCAAAAATTCTATCATGTTATGGTTGCTCATCCCCAATTTGATAGTGGGGGAGTCAGTGATTGCAAATCTTTGAATATCAAGGGGCGGTGGTTAGATTGTCTGTCTCTTATTGGTGATGGCCATAGCCTGGCATTTGTGCGGTGCAAATATTACTTGCCATTTGTTCGTCCAAGCCTGGATATCGTCCAGATATTGTTGCATTTAAACATGGACAACTTTGATATTTTAGGAGTTATGAATGGTGCTAAACATTGTGCAATCATCCAGCATAAATTCCCACTTCTGACCAATTGAGAGACTACATCCACACAGGTTGTTTCCCTATGGGAGGGTCTAGCACCAGAGGATATAATCTCAGAGTAAGGAATCGCCCATTTAAAACAGATGAGGAATTATTTCTTTGAGGTTACTAAATCTGACATTATTGCAGAAAGTTGTTGAGGCTGCATTGTTAATTATGTTAATTGATAGACTGATTTTTAATCAACAAGGGAATTGAGGGCTATGGGAAAAAGTACAAAAGTGGAATTGAGGATTATCAGATTGGCCATGAATGCATTGAATGGCAGAGCAGACTTGATGGAGCGAAATGGCCTACTTATGCTGTTATCTCTTTTTTTATTAAATTGAGCCTGGCTGACCTTCTCATGCAGTATAAGTTGTTGATCCCGTTGAGATTCGTTATCCTTGCAATTCTGCCCTGATGTCTGCAAGAGGAACAGTTGTAATAGGATTTCTTTTTTAAGCAATACTAAGTATTCAGTGTTCCTTCAAGTCTCTTAATTGCTGGTAAAATTTGAATGAATCGTCACTGATAATTTTCAAAGACTCCTTAATTCTGCACAATACATTCTGACCTAACCAATATCCATACAAACTCAGCCTCACTTCCTTGTTTTATATTGTGTCATCATGTATAAAATACAGAACACAATTTCTACCTTGTTAAATCTTGCTTCTGCATTTCTCATTCTCTATTCCTCTAATAACTTGAACTGTTTTGTCAGAGTTTGATACATTCTCCTTTTTCTGAATCTAGTACTTCACCTTTCTCAGTTGCCATCATCAGTCCTATCTACTAACTGGCAAGTGCCACCCTGCAATTTTTTATATTTTTTGTTGCATTGCCTCCAACTGTTTACAAATGGAAAGTAAGAAGCCCCAGCACAGATCTGGGATACATCTTAACACTTGTCATAAACCCTATTTGTCCCAACTCTGTGCTTTGTTCCCTTGATATCTCTCTGTCTAGGCTGCTATAATCCCTTTGATATCGCACACCTTTATTTTTGTGCCTATCCTCTTCAGAGGCATTGTCTGAAAACCCAAATGCACAATCTTCATTTTGTTGCTTTCCTCTGTTCACTGACTAGAAGATTTATTGAAATAAATCTTCCCGACTATTGCCAGTTGTTCTGATTGCAGGAGGCTGGTATAGTGCTGCATTCTACACCTGGTTCTTCTGAGGCTTTTGGTTTGATATTTACAAGCTGTATTGTTCATAGTCTTTGTTTATAGTAATGCTTCATCCTGACTGCCTGCCTTGTGCTTTCCTCACACAGCGAGGAGAGCAGAAAGTGTCAAAGGTTACTACTGGATTGCTGGTGGCTGCCTGGCTTTTTGCCCTTATCACTTTGTTTGTGACTGCAGCGAATAAAATCACATGGCTGGAGTACCTCTACTATTTTTCCTACATCAAACTTGTAATAACCGTGATCAAATATGTGCCCCAGGTAAGTAATGGGGATCATGCTGTGCGGGTGGTCTACACGGTGCAAGGTACAGTACAATGGAGGAGGGGTCTTTGGTGATTTGTGAATTTGTTTGGTGGTATTATGTGCAGAATTCTGCAGCCTCTTCAGCTATGAGTATGTAGATGTACAAAAGTATGAAAATGCTGATGGGTTTGACTGTGACGTTGATCTCTGGGGTCTAACAGTAATCTGAAGAATGGTTGAAAGGATTCTTGTTGAGGAGTAGCTAGAGTCATCATCCTTTGCAAATGGACCCAGCATTGATGTCAGCATTACTGATCCCACTTACTTTGCTGTCTTAAAGCTTTAAGCTGAGAGAAAATGTTGAGATCTGTTGTGGCACTAATATTAATCAATTCATTAAAGACCCAGCTGCCTCATCAGGCTTGTCCTATCCCACATTGTCCCAGCATCATAACTTGATATTCCATCTCCTGCCCCTCTATATAATCCTGTGGAAGATATGAGAGAAGAAAATGCAGGAACAATGAGGGAAAAGATTCTAGCAATTTCCCACTGATGATGGAAACCAATTCAGGAGATGACAAAAACGGAAACTGGTGGAAACACTCCAGTCTGGCAGCATCTGTGGAGAGAAGGCAGAGTTAACTTTTCGGGTCCATTGACTCTTCTTCAGAGCAGTTCAGTTCAGGACATGACCTGGATCAAGTTCTGTTTGTTAGTACACGTACTCTCTATATGGTTTGATCTGTCCCACTCGGGCAAAGGTTCATAGAATTTCTACAGTGTGGAAGCAAGCCATTCAGCCCATCGAGTCCACACCGACCCTCCAAAGAGCATCCCACCCAGACCCAATCCCCTACCCTATCCATACATTTCGCATGGCCAATCCACCGAGCCTGCACATCCCTGGACACTATAGATAATTTAGCATGACCAAACCACCTAACCTGCACATCTTTGGATTGTGGATGCATAGATGGGGAGAATGTGCAAACGCTACACAGACAGTCATCTGAGGCTGGAATCAAACCTGGGTCCCTGGCAGTGTGAGACAGCAGTACTAACCACTGAGCCACCATACCACCTGGGTTCCTATCCAGCACATTACCCTGCAATGTTTCTGTTGTACCTTCCAGTGAATTATTTTTGCAAGTGACAGTGATTGATTGATCTACTGATTTGTGAATGTTCTATTAACTCTCTCTTCAGGCCTATATGAATTATCGAAGGAAGAGCACAATTGGTTGGTCAATTGGGAATGTGCTGCTAGATTTCACTGGAGGAAGTTTCAGCATTGTGCAGATGTTCTTACAGTCTTATAACAATGGTAAAGGCTGACCTTATCTGGATTGAAATGTTCACTCTGGAATGACTGAATTTGTAAATGGTCGTGTTGAGTGTGTACAGGGTTCAGAGATTCTTGCATACTAGCAACTCAAGTTACCATCTCTGTTGTACACCATGACTGCAACACAAATCCTGTAGCATCCTTTCCAGTTATCAGGTACCCAGCTGTGCTGCATTCCTCTGTCTCCTTCATAGACCTGTCATTTTCCCTGCAAGTATTTATCTAATTCATTTTTAAATCTTGTATTGAATCCACCACCCTTTCAAACCAGTGCATTGCAGATCACAACTCGCTGTTTAAAAAGTTACTTCACCTCCCCACTAGTTTATCAGATGATTTATTTAAATCAGTATCTCCTTTTACTAACCCTGCTGCCATTGGGAGTGCTCTCTTCACTTATTCTGTAAAAACCCATCATGATTAAATCTCCATTTAATCTTCCCTGCTGTAAGAACAACCATTAGAGTTTCACTAATCTGTCCACTAAACTGAAGTTTCTTATCGTTGGTCCCATTTTAATAAAATTGCTCTAGGTGGTTTTGCAAGTCTGTTTGTTTTCTCTGCAGACTCCATAGTCAAGGCAAGTAGATCATAGAATCCCTACAGCATGGAAACAGGCCCTTTGACCCAACAAGTCCACATTGACTCTCAGAACATCCCACCCAGACCCATCCCCCTATAACTCACCTAATCTACACATCCCTGAACATTATGGACAATTTTCCATAGCCAGTCCACCTAGCCTGCACATTTTTGGACTGTGGGAGGAAACCGAAGTACCTGGAGGAAACCCATGCAGACACCGGGAGAATGTGCAAACTCCACATAGACAGTTGCCTGAGGGTGGAATTGAACCTGGGTCCCTGGCGCTGTGAGGCAGCAGTGCTAACCACTGAGCCACTGTGCCGCCCCACCACACCTGTGAAATAAGGGCTCCCAATGCGCTAATTGTTAAATTTTACATCACAGGTTAGAAAGGTCGTTTTAAAAAAAAAACCTAGCACTCTGCTTTATTTCACTAGAGAAGATTTGAAACAACGGGAAAGTATCGACCCTTGGTTAGATGACACACAGTATTGTGTGCAGTTCTAATCATCATATTATCAAAAGGTTACCAAGGCACTGGAGAGGATGCAGAGAAGATTTACAAGGATGATAACAGATGATATGTGTGGGTTTACATATCACGGAAAGACTGGGTGCCCTCTCTGAAAGAAAGCTGTGGGTGACCCAATAGAAGGATTTGAAATTGAAAGGTTTTGATGGAATGGATGCAAAGTTATTCATTTTGACAGGCAGTGTCATCAGTACAACATCGAACTTCTTGGTGACAATTGGGAATTATACTGCCTTATACTAAGTTCAGAGGATGTGGAACTTGCTACCACGGGGAGTGGTTGAATTCAATTAAGAATACATTCAGAAATAGTAACAGGCCTCGACTATTCAGACACTCAAGCCTGCTGTACCATTAGATAGGATCGTGGCTGATCTGACATTTCATATGCCCACTTTCCTGTAATTTTCCCATATCCTTTGCTTTCCCCAACTGATAATATACACACAGATTCTGCCCCCAAAGCTCTTTGTGACAAGGAGTTCCAAAGATACTCAAATCTCAGAAGAAGTTCCTATTCATCTCAGTCCTAAATTGGTGCCCCTTTATTCTGGGACTATGTCTGCTGGTCCTAGACTCTCCCATGAGGAGAAGTATTTATCCTGTCAAGCCCTTTAAGAATCCGATGTGTTTCAATGAGATCACCTCACAGTATTTGCAGGAAATTACAGGTCAATTAGTCTAACCTCAGTCTTTAGTTAGATTTTAGAGTCCATTTTTAAGGATGAGATTGCGAAATACTTGGAAGTGAATGGTAAAATAGGGCTGAGTCAGTACAACTTCTTCAAGGGTAGGTCATACCTGACAAATCTGTTAGAAATCTTTGAGGTGGTAATGAGCAAATTATTGGACAGTGCAGTGGACGTGATGTATTTGGAAGGCCTTTGGCAAGGTGCTGCACAAGAGGCTGTTAAGTAAGATAAGAACCCATAGTGTTAGGGGCAAGATACTGGCATGGATAGAGGATTGGCTGACTGGCAGAAGGCAAAGAGTGGGGATAAAGGGGTCTTTTCCAAATTGGCAGCCAGTGACTAGTAGAGTTCTGCAGGATTCATCCCCCTAGTATTTTTCTTGGGATTAATTTCTGCTGTGCCTCTGGAATTATCCCAGAAACTCCTGCCATTACTACTCCAGTCTTCCCTGCTAGGTTTCTCTTCCAATCACCTCTGGCCAGCTCCTCCCTCATGTCTTTGCAGTTATCTTTATTCAATAGTAATACCATTACATCTGATTTCAACTTCTTCCCCTCAAACTGCAGGATGAATATGATATTGTAGTCACTGCCCCCTAGGGGTTATAGAGTCATAGAAACATAAACATGGAAACATAGAAAATAGGTGTCGGAGTAGGCCATTTGGCCCTTGGAGTCTGTACCACCATTCAGTACGATCATGGCTGATCATGCAATCTCAGTAGCCCGTTCACGCCCTCTCCCCATATCCTGTGATCCCTTTAGCCACAAAGGTCACATCCAGCTCCCTCTTGAATATATCTAATGAACTGGCCCCAACAGCTTCCTGTGGGAGAGAATTCTACAGGTTCACAACTGAGTGAAGAAATTCTTCCTCATCTCAGTCCCGAATGGCTTACCTCTTATTCTTAGATTGTGACCCCTTGTTCTGGACTTCCCCAACATTGGGAACACTCTTCTCGCACCTAGCTTGTCCAGTCCCATGAGGACTTTATATGTTTCTATGGGATTTTCCCCCCCCTTTATTCTTCTAAATTCCAGCAAATACAAGCCCAATCGATCCAGTCTTGTATGTCAGTCCTGCCATCCCAGGAATCAATCTGGTGATCCTTCGCTGGACTCCCTCAATAACAACAATGTCCTTTGTCAGACTAGGAGACCAAAACTGCACACAGTACTCAAGATGTGGCCTCACCAAGGCCCTGTATAACTGCAGCAAGACATCCTTACTCTGATACTCAAATCCTCTTGTTATGAAGGAGAGCATGCCATTAGCTTTCCTCACTGCCTGCTGCACCTACATGCCAATCTTCAGCGATTGTTCCACCTTGTTGCCAAAACTACCTTTTCCAAAACTACCACCGTTCAGATAATTTGCCTTCCTGTTTTTGCGACCAAAGTGAATAACCTCACATTTATCCACATTATATTGTATTTGCCCACTCAGCCAGTCTGTCCAAGTCACCCTGCAGCCTCTTAGCATCCTCCTCACAGCACAAACTGCAACCCAGCTCAGTATCATCTGCAGATTTGTAGATATGGGAATCAATTCCTTCGTCCAAATCATTAATGTATATTGTGAACAGCTGAGGTCTCAGCACTGAACCCTGTGGCACCCCACTCGTCACTGCCTACCATTCTGAAAAGGACCCATTTAATCCAACTTTCTACTTCCTGTTTGCCAACGAGTTCTCTATCCATGTCAATGCATTACCTCCGCTACCACGAGCTTTGAGTTCCTTACTAATCTCTTGTGTCGAACCTTGTCAAAAGCCTTTTGAAAGTCCAGATACACAACATCTATTGATTCACCATTATCCATTCTACTGGTCACATACTCAAAAAAAAAAAAAAAATCCAGAAGATTTGTCAAGCATGATTTCCCTCTAGTGAATCCATGCTGACTAGGACCGATTCTATTACCGCCTTCCAAATACTTAGTTATTGCATCCTTAAAAAATGACTCCAGCGTTTTCCCACCACCAATGTCAGGCTAACCAGCCTATAATTCCACATTTTCTCTCCTGCTTCTTTTAAAGAGTGGAGTTACATTAGCTACCCTCCAGTCTGGAACTCTTCCAGAGACTGTAGAATGCTGGAAAATGATCACCAATGCATCTGCTATTTCTAGGGCCACTTCCAGGGCCTGATGCTCTGCATCCCAGAGTACTTATCGGGTTTTAATCCCATCAGTTTCCTCAACACCATTACCTGACTAATAAGGACTTCCTTCAGTTCCTCCTTCATGTTTGACCCTCTGTCTCCTAGAATTCCCTGAAGATTATTTGTGTCCTCGTGAGTGAAGACAGATCCAAAGTACTTATTCAACTGGTCTGCCATCTTTTTGTTGTCCATTATGAATTCACCTGATTCTAACCGCCAGGGACCTTATAGTCTTCATCAGTCTTTTTCTCTTCACATATCTATAGAAACTTTTGCAGTCAGTTATTGTTTTCCGGAAGTTTACTTTCATATTCTGTTTTCCCTTTCTGAATTAAACCCTTTAACCTGCTCTGCTGAATGTTAAATTTCTCCCAGTCCTGACGTTTGCTGCTTTTTCTGGCCAATTTATATGCCTCTTCTTTGGCTTCAAACTGTTCCTGATTTCCCTTGTTAGCCATGATTGAGCCATCTTCCCTGTTTTACTCTTATGCCAGACAGGGATGTACAATTGTTGAAGTTCATTGATGTGTTCTTTAAATGTCTGCCATTGCATTTCCACCATCAACCCCGTAAGTATCCTAGCCAATGTATGCCTCATACTAACAAAGTCAGCTTTCTTTAAGTTCAGGACCCTAGTTTCAGATTTAATTGTGTCACTCTCCATCTTAATGAAGAATTTTACCATATTATGGTCACTGTTCTCCGAAGGATCTCGCACCGCAATGTTGCTAATTAATCCTCTCTCATTAGACAATACACAGTCTAGGATGGCTTGCTCTCTAGTTGATTCCTCGACATATTGGTCAAGGAGACTATCCCTCATACATTCTAGGAAATCCTCCTCCACCACATTGCTACCAGTTTGGTTAGTCCAAGTTTCAATGGTTTGCATTTGGCCCATATCCCTCTAAATCCTTTAGATTAGCCTCTCCGACAAAGATTTAAAAGGGACCTAGGGGGCAGCTTTTTCAAGCAGAGGCTGGTATATGTATGGAATGAGTTGCCAGA